AAGCAAACGAGACCCATACCATTTCATACAAAAAAGTAATGGTCTCTGAAGAAACATCATCAGAAACCTTTTCATGTGAAACTTATTTTGTAGTGGATTAGCATACCTCTTCCTCGTCACTACGGCGTTCTGCCGACTCATACAAACGTTCTAGAAAGTTCTTATGTACGTCGTCCGTAGCTAGTGTGATCCTGAAAGGTATAGCATCATAAAAGATTTAAGGAATGAAAGGCAAACTTACGGTCCATCATTATACAAATCGTGATGTTCAATTGTTTCCCTTTTAGCGGAACCTCTTGCACGCACAGAAGGCTGCGACATTTTTGAGGATTTGCGTGATACGGAACTCTTGGGAAAAAACTGTTCTAGCAGCTAAAAATTTTATGCAGTATATGTGTTTTGTTATTTAAGATAGAGAAATTACCGATTAGGACTAGGACTCTTACTTCTCCTGCCCGCGGCCTCTTTATTGGATCCTCCACCAACGTCGCATCTACCATATCAGCTAATTCTCGACTTGAAGTAGGTATAAGTGTGCGACTAGTATAACTAAGATGACTTGGCGATCCGCAGCGGTGGGCTTCAAGAAGAGTCTAAACTACAACTGGTAAAGATTCCATCAAAGAAATTATAATTTCCTATATCTCACTTCGTGCAATTTTTGCGTTGAATATGACAAGAATAGGTCTTGGAATGGAGCATAACGTGTTACCATCGCCACTAGCACACACCCAACTGCCCTAACGGGCAAGATATTAGGCACATTATTCGGTTAGCCTTCTTTCAAGATAGCATTACCATATATCGCCAGCGGTTGTCGTATCTTCCCACGAATCCGGTGTTTCAAACATTTCAGGGGCGCAATGCAGGAGAGTTCTCCGTTTGTGTTTGTCATTTTCTGGGGCATCTAAATATGGCTTTAAAATATGAACGACTCTTCTGAAACAGATATAGAGTCTTTTAGGATAATACCTTGAATGCTTGTATTCATAAAATTCAACGCTACAATTTGTTATCTAACGCTCTTCTACCTTTCTTCAAAGTCTATCTTTGAGCGCATAATTTGACCTTCATCTCGGTATGAGCTACATT